CTTCCTTCCTTCCTTCCTTCCTTCCTTCCTTCCTTCCTTCCTTCCATCCTTCCCTCCCTCCTTCCTTCTTCCTTCCTTCCTTCCTGTACTGGAGTTTGAACTTTGGGCTTTAAGCTTGTGAGACAGGTGCTCTACCACTTGAGTCATATCTCTAGGCCCCCAATAAGTCCCCTTTCTACTCAACTTACTCTAGCGTTTTACAGCTAAAAACCACACTGTGTTAAACAGTTGTCCTTTACTGTTTAAAAAACAAACAATAACAAGAGAAAAATTTGAGATAATTAACCTAAAGATAGGAAAGTTTAGTTTAACAGTTTTTGGGGTGTTTTAATCCTTGTTACTCTATTGAATCCATTTTAATCTATTGAGTCCATTGTTTTGGGTTTATAGGAGACCCTAGTGGAGATTGGTAGAAGAAAATAAACCTGTTTACTTCTTGGCAGGAGGTGTGAAAGAGGAAGAGGAGGGGCTGGCTGGGTCCCAATATCATTCCCAAGGACTTGTTTTCAATAACCTACTTCCTTCCACTAGGTTCCACGCCATAAAGGTTTCACCACTTCTCATTAGTACCACAGGCTGGGAATCAAATCTTCAGATACAAGGACCTTTGAGAATACTTTGAAGATCCAAACTGTAGAATGTACCAGTTCTCTTTACTATACCCCTACCTTCATGCCTCAAATTTTTCTCCAAATGAGGAGAATGCAGAAAGGATTTTAAACTTAAGAATTTCTTGAAAATCTTTAAGAGCTGGATATGGTGGTTCATGCTTATATACCCAGCATTCCAATACTGAGGCAGGAGAAACTCATCAATTTGAAGTCAGCCTAAGTTACTTTAGCAAGGTTTTATCTTTTTTAAAAAATGTTTATTTAAAGATGCCTATCATTTTTTGTGAGTATGATACTGACGATAGAACCTAGGGTGTTGTACATATTAGAAAAGTACTCTGCTACTGAACTACATCATACCTAGCCCTTGAAGTTTTTTGAAACCTGTTCTCAGTATGTAGCTTAAGACAGCTTGGGACTTGCTATGTATAGCCCATACTGGCCTCAAAAACTTATAATTCTCCCACTTCCTAAATAACTCTGTGCCTTTAAGTTTGCTAGATTTTAAAGAATTTCTTCATGTACAAAGTTTGTACCTTCCAGTGAGAGCTGGACATCAGTGGCTCACTCATGTAATCTTACTTAGGAGGCTAAGATGTGAGAATTGTAGTTTGAAGCCAGCCTAGACAGGACTATCCATAGGACTCTTATCTAATTAACAAGCAAAAAGCTGGAAATGGAGCTGTGGCTCAAATAGGAATGCTATCCTTGAGTATAAAACGTTAGGGACAGCACCCTGGTCCTGAGTTCAAGCCCCAGGACCGGTAAAATAAAAAGAACATTGGGAACAATGTGTTCTTGAGTTGGGCATTATTTGTTTCATGTAACTTATAAGGATATCTAAATGTGGGTGACACCCAAAACATTTTGGGAGATGTATAGCACTGTACAATAACAGTCACTCCTTTAGTGCTATAAGGAAGATCAGCTACAAGTAAAAATCCCAGTCTTTTCCTCCCTTTCTCTCTTCCTCAAAAAAGTGGTCAAATGAAAATTAGATAAAGCCGGGTGCTGGTGGCTCATGCCTGTAATCCTAACTACTCAGGAGGCTGAGATCTCAGGATCATGATTCAAAGCCGACCTGAGCAGGAAAGTCCCGAAAACTGGAAGTGGTGCTGTGGCTCACATGGTAGAGCGCCCACCTTGAGCTGAAGAGCACAGGGACAGCACCCAAGCCCAAAGTTCAAGTCCTATGACGGGGGTGGGGGGGTGGGGGGGGGAGATTACATAAAAGCTTTTTAGTTATGTTAAGAGAATTACAGTTGACTTTGGCTGTTAAGAAGTGTTCTGGCCCCCCTCTCCCAATTAAAAAAATTCCTCTCATTCCCAATATAATAAAATGAGTTCAGAATTGGAGAAAAATGTTTTAATTCTTCAATTTCTATTTTTCTAAAATTAACTTTGAGGGAGATATCTGAGTAAATAAGGAATATAAAGCTTGTCCTTCTGAGTGGACTTTTGGGCTGACCATGGAGAAATTTGGAAGGATAATGTAGTGAATCTAGTAGAAAAAAAATGTGGCTCTTTTTATTTTTTTGGGTCCGGTCGTGGGGCCTGAACTCTGGACCTGGGCTCTGTCCCTCAGCTCTTCAGCTCAAGGCTAGCGCTCTACCACTTAAGCCACAGCACCACTTCCGGCTTTTTTTCTTTTTGCTTATGTGATGCTAAGGAATCGAACCCAGGGCCTCAGGCATGCAAGGCAAGCACTCTACCACTGAGCCACCTTCCCAGCCCCGTGGCTCTTTAAATGGTTCCACCTAACATGTAAAAGTATATTGTCTTTCCTGTCTGGCCTTAGTAATAATAAAACTGTCTTCTTACTCCAGTTCTTTGCCAATCAAATAAAATATCTTTTCTCTTTTGACAGGTGGTAGAAATTTCCTTTAACTTCTGGTACCGACTAGGAGAACATTTATACAAAACTAATGATGAGGTTATTCATGGCATCTTTAAAGCTTACATTCAGAGGCTGCTTCATGCCTTGGCTCGACATTGCCAGATGGAGCCAGACCATGTAAGTTCTGTCTCTACTTCAAGTCCTCATTTTCTCCACTTTTCAGAGCTAATTTGAAAAGGTAGAAAATAAAGCTGATTTTTTTTTAACACTTTAGCTATAGTGAAATCAATCCCAGTAATAGACTTGGCTTATCTAGAAAAAAACTACTTCTGCTGTCAGTAATTCTTCTCCTAATAATTTGTTTGAATAGTCCAATAGAAGGAAAAATTAGTATCTATTATATGTATAAACATTATCTATAAAAGTAGAAAATGTTTAACCCTGTCTACTGGTATAGAAGAAACCATGTCTAGCATATACTTAATGTACCATTATGTGGCAATTAAAAATAATGAGTATTGAAATAATTGGTATGCTAAGAATAAAAACATCAAAATGTAGAACTCTGTACTTGTGTGGGAGGAGGTCTGGGGATTGAACCTCAGGACCTTCATGCTAGCTAGCTAGGGAAGTGCTCTACCACTGAGTTATATAGCTCATTCCCAACTCTCTTTTTTATTTTGAGACAGAGTCTTGGTTTGTAACTCACACTGGTCTTGAACTCTGTGTAACTCAGACTGGCCTCAAACTTGCAATCCTACTTCAGCCTCCCCAATGTTGTGATTACATGAATATGATTACCATGCCCAGTTTATATTCTGTTTTAGTAGTGTAAAATATATGGTTATAAATTAAATCTTTCTGTGAGGATGCTGAAAATTACAAAATTCCCCCTCATATTTATGCAATTTTCTTTACTCTGATTTTATAATTAAAGGAGATAATCTATTTGCTTAGAAGAAAATATACAAGTAATATGGAAGTCTACTGGAAACTCTTCAGCCTTAATTCTTTGCATAATGTCTTTAAATTTTACCTCATTTATTTCATCTTGATTAGCTGTTGGTTGGTTGATTTCAGGACTTTGAGTACATTTAATTGCTCATAATTAAATCTGACATGCTAGTTTCTTGGTTTTAATGTTAATATTGTGTTTGAGCATTTTGTGTCTCCACAGAACTTTAGTAATGTCTAGTGTAATAATCCTGTGTCCTGAGCACCCCCGCCCCATTAATTATTGTTGTTAAACTGAGAAACCCTATTTTTTACCATATCTTACTTAGAAGACCAAATTGTAAATAAAATGAGGGCTGTTCTGTTAATTGATTCTATTTTTTTGTTCTCCTTCTTATCTTTGATAATGTAGTGGCACTAGTTTTCTTAAAAGTATTGTATGTCTACACATATATGTATAGTACTTTAAGTGTATAGTATTTTATAAATTACAGTGTTTTATAATTTTACTCATTATTTTATATGAGAAAGCCATTATTTCCTCCTCATTCCTGAACCTTATTATCTTTATCTTAAAGCAAAATAGTTGAATTAGATTATCAGTTTTCAAAAAGTTCTAAGGACTTTTTCTAGGTATTTATGGCCCAAGATTTTTATACATGTCTTTAACCATATCAAAATTAATATCCTTTATATAGAGAGAGATGTATATTTGGATGAGACAGTTTTAAAAGTCTGAAGTTCTATTTTCCTTGTGAATTGATGGTGATAATGGTTGATTTTCGTAGATCTTGAACAAAAAGCTTCAGAAACTTGGTTAGTACTAAATAGCGGATCTTCTCTTGATAGACTTATAACTCTTCTTTTACTACTTCTTTGGTAGATCCTCTATTGTAATAAAATATTCTTGTGGTTTGAACAACTTTGGTCCATTAGGACTTGACTACTTAATGGCTTTTTCCTTACTGACTTCATAGAGGTCATCGAAAACTTCAGTAAGTTTAAAACACATGTTACCTGATTTGAAATTTCAGGAAGGGGTTCCTGAGGAGACTGATGACTTTGGGGAGTTTCGGATGAGGGTATCAGACCTGGTGAAGGACTTGATTTTCTTGATTGGGTCTATGGAGTGTTTTGCTCAGGTAAGCTCTCTCGGAGATTCTTAGGCCAGTTTTACTGACCCTTAATTGTGCTTACTTCTATGTTTTCTGTAAATGTTCCATCTTATTTTTTTCAAACTCAGTGGCTAGATGAGATGCTAGATGTACAGGTGCCTAGCATATGATAGCTATGTTTATTTATTGTATCTGAGCTGTTTTCAATCTATGGATAATTGCTTGTGGCTTACTCCACTAGTTTTGCCAATAAGAGCTTTTCCATTAGTATAATGGAATGGAAGGTCCGAGATAAGCTTTAAAGCTTCCAGGAAACTTAGTGAAATTTGAACCTCGCCAGGAAAAATAGACTACTTTTTCTACTTTCATAATTATGTACCATTTCCTAGTAAGAGTTAGTTATTTGGCATTTCATTGTTCACACTTATGATAGATAGGTTCCTGTACAGTTTCATTTCAGAGGTGATTATCCTAAAGTAGGTTTCCCTTAGAATGAGTAACATTTGTCATGTAAGGTTAAGATTACAGTCATTGGGGCTGGGAAGGTGGCTCATGGTAGAGCGCTTGCCTTGCATGCATGAGGCCCTGGGTTCGATTCCTCAGCACCACATAAGAAAAAAGCCGGAAGTGGCACTGTGGCTCAAGTGGTAGAGCGCTAGCCTTGAGCTGAAGAGCTGAGGGACAGCGCCCAGGCCCAGAGTTCAGGTCCCACGACCGGACCAAAAAAAAAAAGATTGCAGTCATCATCATTTTGCTACTTTACAGAAGAATTTCAAGTGTTTTTCATATTGGCTGAATCATGCTTTAATGAGCTCTGAAATACTAGTTTTGATTGCTGTGAACTAACCTAAAGAAGAAAAGTGGGGAAGAGGAGAGTAACTCAATCAGAGTTTCTATATTTGGGCACTTCCTTATTTAGGAAGTGTTACTTTTTATTACAGAGCATGTTTTTTCACAATGAAGAGTTGGACACTTCTAAAAGGCAGCTTCAGGGAGGTTCCTGAACCATAGGCAGGTGACCTATACTCAGATTTCAGCCCTTTTCTCATCAGCTCTGTGGCTTTGACTTCAGTTTACAAACTTAGATAAATTATCAATGTTGCCAAGATGTGTTCTGTGGAATACCAGACTAGATGTTCTTTGACAAAAATAAATAAATAAATAAAGTTATATCATCTATTAAAATTGGAGAATACTATAAATATCTTAATAGTGAAGTCATTATGAAGTCATAGAGGGGCAGAGATTTAATTTTTTTGTAAGAGTGTTCGTTACATGACTGTAGAAGTCTTTTTAAACTACTACCTAGTCACATTCCATACATAGATGTAATCTGGAAAATTCTGGGCCAGAACATCTGAGTATCCCACTAGTATTCTATCTTTTTTGGCAAGTGGTGGAGTCGAGCAGATAATTGTGCTTAGTCAGGCACTGGTGGTTCATAACTGTAATCCCAGCTACTTCAGGAGGCTGAGATCTTAGGCTCATGGTTTGAAGCCAGCCTGAGCAATATAGTCTGTGAGGCTCTTATTTCCAGCTAAGCAGCAAAAAGCCAGAAGTGGAGCTGTAGCTCAAGTGGTAGAGTGCAAAAGAACTCAGGGACAGTGCCCAGACCCTGAGTTCAAGCTCCAGGACTGGCACAAACAACAAAAATAAAATTGTGCTTAGATAGGGTATTGCCATAGGTATTTTTTTAAGGATCTATCCTATTTTCAAGAATTTAACCTAGACTATCATTGTTGGGGCAAATAGTAGTAGAATTGTAGAGCTAATACAGATATAGAGGATTTATGTTGTGTCTTTACTTGCTATGTTTTCATATACTTATCAGCTGTCAAGACCAGAAAGAGAAACTCATGTAATATGTTTTGTGTTTCCCATAGCACTTACTTTCTGGAGTAGATGATTATCTTTTTAAAGTCTTCAAGTTCTAAATAGTTGTATATCAAGTTTAAAAAAATAGTGAAGATTTCAAAGAATTAATATTTTTGGCTTGCTCTGATAAATTTAGAAACAAGGAGCTAGGTTTCTTTTAACCTAGTTTTTCTTTTCTTGTTTGTTTTGGAATTGTTTTCCTTTTAATGGAACCATAATCTACTTCTTCTTCTCTAGTTATATTCTACTCTGAAAGAAGGCAACCCACCCTGGGAGGTGACAGAAGCGGTTCTGTTTATCATGGCAGCTATAGCAAAGAGTGTTGATCCGTGAGTCTCTGATAAGTCTTTTGCTGGGATCTGTAAATATTAAAAGGAAGGAAAATTATACCATATTTCTCTTACATGGTATATACTTAGGACTTCTTATTTCTGTAGTGTCTAGTTTTAGGACTTTATGGTCTAGTTCAACATAGCCTGAATTACTGATGTCATGTTTTGACATACTTCCTAGAGTTAAAAGTAGTTTACTTTTGGCTGGGATATAGCTTAGGAGCAAAGTGCTTGCCCAACAAGTGCAACATCCTGGGGTTGACCCCCAGCACCAAATAAAGAAAAGATTCCCCCCCCCCCAAAAAAAAGCAGTTTTTACTCTTGATGCTAGGAATAGATTGCTGATTTATTTTTCCAATTGAGGTTCCTTTGTGAAACTACTCATGATTAAGAATTTGTTAAATTGTTAGTACTTGCTTAAAAGCAACTGAATAAGCATTAATTTTGACCTGCTTTTGTGGCCTTGGGTTAATTATCATTATAGATGTTTAATTAGATTATTCTTTCTGTTTTAGAGAGTCATTCATGAGATTCAGAGAGACAAGGCATAGACAATTCTTTGACTTAAAAGAATAGCAAAATCTATAGGATCATTATTACTTATTGCCACTAAAATTTTTTGAATGTCAATTTGATTTCTAATTTCTTAGAATAGAAATTCTATTTATGACTTGAATCTTTCAGAAGTTATTTATACTGTAAATTTATATAGCATACTGACAGATACAGTGGTTCAGTCCGGTAATCAGCCTGAAATCAAGAGGAACTGAGTTCAAATCAGCCTGGGCTGGGCACTAGTGGCTCAGGCCTATAATCCTAGCTACTCAGGAGGCTGAGATCTGAGGATCATGGTTCAAAGCTGCCCACGCAGGAAAGTCTGTAAGACTCTTAACTCCAATTAACCACCGGAAAACTGGTAGTGGCACTGTGGCTCAAAGTGGTAGAGTGCTAGCCTTGAGCGAAGAGCTCAGGGACAGGGCCCAGGCCCTGAGTTCAAGTCCCATGATTAACAGCAACAAAAAATCAACCTGCACAAAAAAATGTTTACAAGATTTTGTGTTGACCAATAAACAGTGGGGCATGGTAATGGGCACATGTCATTCCAGCTACAAGGACAAGGACAATGTAAATAAATAGGTGTATTGTTGTCAGAGCCAGCCTGGGCAAAAATCTTAAGCCACAGAAGTGTGGCTCCTGTGGTAAGAGCACCTGCCTATCAAACACGAGGTCCTTAGTTTAAATGTCAGTATTATCTCCCCACCACCTGGGAGTGAATGGGGAGGAACATATTTAGGTTAGTTACCTTTCTTAGCTACTCATTGAAATAGTACGTTGGTTTTAACCCAGTAAATATTCTAGGAGATAAGTAGTTTGTGTTTATTAAGAGGTTCTCCTTACCCAGGCAAAGCAGATTCATGCCTATAATTTCTAGCTATTGAGGATTGCTGCCTGGGCAGACACATTTATGAGACTGTTATCTCCAATTAACCAGCAAAAAGCCAGAAGTAGAAATATCACTCAACTGGTAGAGCTCCAGCCCTAAGGAAAAAGCTAAGCAAGAGTACAGTGTCCTGAGTTCAAGCCCCAGATCCCTCACTGTAACTAAAGTTATACTCCTTAATTACATACTATAGTATTTTCTCTTAAACCTATTTTGCTATCTTCTGGAACCTCTGTGAAAATCTGAAAGTTGTTAGTGTTTGCTTTTTGTTCTTAGGGAGAACAATCCTACACTTGTGGAAGTCCTAGAAGGCGTTGTCCGTCTCCCAGAGACTGTACATACAGCTGTGCGATATACTAGCATTGAATTGGTTGGAGAAATGAGTGAAGTGGTTGATCGAAATCCTCAGTTCCTTGGTATGTGTAACTATTTTCCATCTGTTGCTGATACTTTTTTGTTTTTGTTTCTGTTTTTTGTGTGTGGTTTTCTTTCTTTTACTCTTGTTCGTTCTTTCTTCTTTATTGACAGGTAGAATATTTGTATATATAAGAGTAGGTTATATAAGTTGCTTAGTTGATAAAAACATTTTTAATCTGATCTGGAATAAGTGCCTTTGAAAAATTAAATCTACAGGTAGAAAAAAGGTTTGATTTTAATGCTTTACTTAATCATGAACATTTCTGTTTTTCCTGATCTTTGGCACTGTGTGTTGTACTAATTAGATCTGTACTTCTAACTAGAAGCTACTAATAGGTTAAAGTAATATAGAGGTTTTTCTGTGTTAAATACATGTTTCCCATAAAAACTAGGAATTAATACTTAATTTGAAACACAATACTTAAATTGAAGAGTATTAAATTATACAACTTTTGGTTGCCCTTGTTGATTCAAAAAGGTAACTAAAAATCATATAATAACTTGGGAATTGGGGCTGAAAGTACAAATCATTTATCCTAACCCCCTTATTTTACAGATAAGGACACTGAGATAATACAACAAATAATTTGTCCAGGGTAACATATATCAAGCCCCTGTCATTGAAGGGATACATTCTGAAAAAATTTTAAACTCCAAATTATTACCATTTTACTTGATTTTCTTTTTTTTCTTTTTTTTGGGGGTCTGGTCGTGGGGCCTGAACTCTGGGCCTGGGCGCTGTCCCTCAGCTCTTCAGCTCAAGGCTAGCACTCTACCACTTGAGCCACAGCGCCACTTCCGGCTTTTTTCTTTTTGCTTATGTGGTGCTGAGGAATCGAACCCAGGGCCTCAGGCATGCAAGGCAAGTGCTCTACCACTGAGCCACCTTCCTAGCCCCAGTTGATTTTCTTTTACAAATGATCTTGTTTTGATGATGAAACAATAGCTGTGTAGTGAACAGATATGTTCCTTTTCCCCCTTTCTGTATAGAAAGCATATGACAAGAATGCTCACTTTATAACTACTATGTTCCAAACCCCTATTTTCTAATTCTTAGATTTTTTTCACTTTTGTTTTGCTTCATCATTTGGCTTTCATTTCTGAACACTTTTTTACAAAGAAACAAAAGTGCTTTTGTTTGTATTAACTTCAGTTTGTGTCCTGTAAGAAGCAAATCTTGCAGTATCTCGCTCAGATTTGTACATAATAAGTAAACAAATTGCTGAATGTTTGTACTTTAAAGTAGTTAAAACCATGAACATTCCATTTTGGGACCCACTAAATTCTAAAGCATTAGAATTGCTTTGGTGAAGGTCTTAGACTAAACAGGTTTGATTCTTGTGAAAGGGGTAGTCAGTGCATAGGTTGCTGTGTTATATTGGTTGTTAGACTAGAAATATAGAGATAAGGGCTTTAAGACATTCCCCCCTCCCCCCTTTTTCCCTTCTTTTTGGTGCCAGTCCTGGGACTCTGTCCCTGAGGCACAGCTCCATTTCTGGCTTTTTGGTAATTAATTGGACATAAGAACCTTATGGACTTAACCTGCTCAGGCTAACTTACCTGCTCAGGCTAGCTTTGAATCAAAATCTTCAGATCTTAGTCTACTGAGTAACTAGGATTATAGGCATGAACTACTGGCACCCAGCTTAGGACGTTGTTCTTATCTAGGAAATTACATTTTCTTATAGAACTGTGTATCCTAGCATCCTTTGGGCTCTCTACAGTAAAAGTAAAAGAAAGTCTCACATAATGATTTTAGTGCAGAATTTTAATTGTTATTATAAAGGTGATATACAAAGGGCTTATAGTTACATAAGTCAGGTAAAAAAATAACATTTCTTTTTAGACAATATCACCCCTTCCCTCACTCACATAATGACTTTTTAATGGGAATCTGTAGGAATGTAAAATGTTTTGTAACTATTTATGATATATGGTAGTATAGTAGTGACTATGCTTTAATAGAGCTGTTTTAATTATGTTACTTTAGAATGTTTTCTTTCTAGATGATGATTGGGAAGCTATTTTTTTGAAATGGTCCCAAGTACAATAGTAACAGATTTATTTTATTTTTTGTTGGTCATGGGGCTTGAACTCTGGGCCTGGGCGTAATCCTTCAGCTCTAGGTGAGCACTCTACCACTGGAGCCACAGAACCACATACCATTTTCAGGTGGTTAATTGGAGATGAGTGTCACGGACTTTCTTGCCCAGGCTGGCTTTGAACCGTGATCCTCAGATCTCAGCCTGAGTAGCTAGGGTTACAGGCATGAGCCACCGACGTCCTGCCCAAAGATTTTTTTTTTTTAAATCAGTCGTGGGGCTTGCACCCTGGGTCTGGGTACTGTTCCTGAGCTCTTCATCTCAAGGCGAGTGTTCTACCACTTGAGCCACAGTGCCACATCTGGTTTTTCTGGTGGTTAATTGGAGATCAGAGTCTCATGGACTTTCCGGCCCAGGTTGGCTTTGAACTGTGATCCTCAGATCTCAGCCTCCTAAGTCACTAGGATTACAGGTGTGAGCCACTGGCACTGGGCAAGTAACAGAATTTTTACAAAGACATTATTCTTTTGATTTCTTTTTTCTTCTTTTTTTTTTGTCGATCGTGGGGCTTGAACTCGCCTGGGGCGCTGTCCCTGCGCTCTTCAGCTCAAGGCAAGCACTCTACTACTTGAGCCACAGTGCCACTTCCTCTTTTGATTTCTTTTTATTTTTTTTCTCCCGGTTGTGGGGCCTGAACTCTGAGCCTGGGCACTGTCCCTCAGATCTTCAGCTGTAGCCTAGCGCTCTACCACTTGAACCTCAGCCCCACTTCCAGCCTTTTCTGCTTATGTGATGCTGAGGAATCAAACTGAAGGCCTCATGCATGCAAGGCAAGCACTCTACCACTGAGCCATCTTCCCAGCCCCATCTTTTGATTTCTTAAATAAAAAAAAAAATATTGTGCTATGAGGTTACTTTAAAATATTCAGAAAATGTTCTCTAACCGTAGTGTTTTCTGTAGAAAAACATTCTGGTTTTTATAAAGGAAGGTTAAAAATTGAGTAGAATTCTATAGAAATTTACCTGTGCATTCAGTTTTTTAAAACACATTTGATAAAAATAAAACACTGAGTTAATTTATTTAGAAGTGCTTAAAAGACATTTGTGACTAGAGTCAAATATAAAAATGTCAGCTTTAGACAATATCATTGTCCTTAGTAATGTAGGTTGTCTTAACAAATGATTCATCTCTAAGTATAATGATAGCTGTCTGAACTTTACATTCTTTTATATATTACTGTATTCTTGAAATTAAATGATCATATATGCTCTTAACTTAGGGTTTTTCAAACTGTTTTATGAATCCCTAAGTTTAGACATTGGGGAAGACGTGAACAATGAAATAGGGCCTGCCTGATACTGTGTCAGTGAGATCAGCTCCAGTTGTGTAAATTTCTACTCTGACTTTCATATATGTAATTTCTACTTGACTTTACTTCTTAGACCCAGTGTTGGGCTATTTGATGAAAGGCCTGTGTGAAAAACCTCTGGCTTCTGCTGCAGCCAAAGCCATTCATAATATTTGCTCGGTCTGTCGGGATCATATGGCTCAGCACTTCAATGGACTCCTGGAGATTGCTCGCTCCCTTGATTCATTCATGTTGTCGCCAGAAGCTGCTGTGGGCTTGCTAAAAGGTATTTACTGGGGCTGGGAAGGTGGCTCAGTGGTAGAGCGCTTGCCTTGCATGCATGAGGCCCTAGGTTCGATTCCTCAGCACCACATAAGCAAAAAGAAAAGAAAAAAGCCGGAAGTGGCGCTGTGGCTCAAGTGGTAGAGCACTAGCCTTGAGCTGAAGAGCTGAGGGACAGCGCCCAGACCCAGAGTTCAGGCCCCATGACCGGACCCAAAAAAAAAGGAAATAAAAGGTGTTCACTTAGGATGCTAAATAGTAAGTGTCTCCTAAGCCACCATTTGGATTTATCTTACATCAGTCATATCATAGTTTTTCAGTTGTAATCTATCTACTTCATTGTGGCCTTCCTATTCAAGGTAGAGTGCTAAATTATATATGGTCTCCTTAGAGTTAATTTTATGGCTATTTAATTGATTAATACTGCTTTCAGATCTAGGTTTTGGGTTGTGAACACATTTGAACCAAACATGATTGCTTTTTAAATTTGGGCAAGTATTTAAAACTGGCAGTGCTGTATGAAAGTGGTAAGTGGATATTGGAAAGTATACATGGATCATTGCTAAGTCAGAAACCAAGGAATTCTGGTCTCTAAGCAGTCTTCTACTACTGAATGTTGGCCTATCCACAGCAAAACAGCCAATTGCTGGTAGGTTAAGGAAAAGACTTAGAATAGACTTGAACCACACCTATTAAGTGGTAGAGTGTTTGCCTAGCATGCAGGAAGCCCTGGGTTCCATTCCTCAGTACCACATAAACAGAAAAGGCTGGAAGTGGTACTGTGGCTCAAGTGGTAGAATGCTAGTCTTGAGCAAAAGAAGCTCAGAGATAGTGCCCAGGCTCAAGCCCCAAGACTGGCCAAAAAAACCCCAAAAACCAAAAAGAAAAGGATTATATTTATTTTGTTAGTAATCAGTTGTCAGTCGCTTATCAATAATGGCTTCTAAAGAGAAAATACTTCATAACCAAACTGTCTAAAGACAGATTAGCATGCCTTATGACACAGTAAAATTCTTGTAACTGGTAAATTAATACGGGTCAGACTATATCAAAGAATTTAGTCACAAAATGTATGCAATATATTGTTTTCTAAGCCTCAGTAAACAGTCTTTCTTAGAGTGAATGACCTTTTATGCAAACTAATTTTATTCTCTTATTTCTATATGATTAGGTTCCTCACTAGTGTGTATGATTTATCATGTCCCTGTGTTTTTTCTTTTTTTGTTAGTCATGGGGCTTTGAACTCAGGACTGTCTTTGTCCCTGAGGTCTTTTGCTCAAGGATAGCACTCTACCACTTTGAGTCACAGTGCCCCTTCTGGTTTTCTAGTGGTTAATTGGAGATAAGTTTCCATGGACTTTTCTGCCTGGGCTATCTTCAAATCCTAGCAACACCAGAGTCGCTAGGATTACAGGTATAAGCGACCAGTGCCCAGCTCCAAGTGTATTTTAGATCTAGCTTCCACATATGAGAAAAAAACATGTGTCCTTTGTATGATATCCCACTTTAACCAACAGCTGGGTATAGCGGTATGTGTTTGTCATCCCAACCCAGGCAACAGAGTGGTGAGACCCTGTACTCAACGGAGTCTAGGTGTGGTAGGCATACTTGTCTCACTTGTCATCACGCATAGTGAGACCAAAGGAGAACAGTCCTAGGAACACACAGGCACAGAGCCTATGTGCATCTGATCTTATAAAATAATATTTAGCAAAATGAACTCCAGGAAATGGAAACGAGCTTTTTTTCTTCATTGCTGTTTTTGTTTTCTTTCTGTTTTGTTCATTTATTTGTCTTTGGGAGGGTAAACAGGGGCATAGGATTGGGAGGGACAAAGGGAGAATAAATGCAGTAATAGTACTCACTAGACACTATGGTGAAAATGAACTACACGACTTGTGGGTAAGGACAGGAGGGAAAAACTGGGAAAGAGTGAGGGAAGGGGTAACATTGTTCATAAGGAAATGTACTCTTTACCTGAGTTATTTCATAATAGCAACAATTTCTTTTTCTTAATGAGGGGTTATGAGCTTTTCTCCAGGGAATCAACTCCCAAATTCATGAGCCACCAGGCCTTGTTTCCTTTTTTTTTTATTTTTTGTCGGTCGTGGATTTCGAACGCTGGGCCTAAATGCTGTCCCTGTGCTCTTCAGCTAAAGGCAAGCACTCTACCACTTGAGCCAGAGCACCACTTCCAGTTTTCTACTGGTTTATCGGAGATAAGAGTCTCACAGACTTTCCTGCCCGGGCTGGATTTGAACCACGATCTTCAGATCTCAGCCCCCTGAGTAGCTAGGATTACAGGAGTGAGCCACTGGCGCCTGGCATTAACATCCTTTCCTTTAGAAATTAATTAAAAAGGACTGGGAAGGTGGCTCAGTGGTAGAGCGCTTGCCTTGCATGCATGAGGCCCTCAGCACCACATAAGCAGGAAAAAAAAAGCCCGAAGTGGTGCTATGGTTCAAGTGGTAGAGCGCTAGCCTTAAGCTGAAGATCTGAGGGACAGCTCCCAGGCCCAGAGTTCAGGCCCACGACCGGAAACCCCCCCCCCAAAAAAAAAGAAATTAGTTAAAAAGAATAGCATTGAAATTGGGTCCTCCCATGGGGCTGGGAAGGTGGCTCAGTGGTAGAGCACTTGCCTTGCATGCCTGAGGCTCTGGGTTCGATTCCTCAGCACCACATAAGCAAAAAAAGAAAAAAGCCAGAAGTGGTGCTGTGGCTCAAGTGGTAGAGCGCTAGCCTTGAGCTGAAGAGCTGAGGGACAGCGCCCAGGCCCAGAATTCAGGCCCCATGACCAGATCCAAAAAAAAAAAAATGGGTCCTCCCTTATTCCCTACTTTTAAAGAAGAGTCTGACACATCTGTCACTTCATTTCTTTTATATTTAAAGATTAATTGCTGTTCTGTGCATGAAAGTGAAGAAGATAAAACTACAGTGAAAGAGATCTCAGCTTAGGATGGACTGGCTTTAAGATGTAATCCTTTGTGGAAGAAGGCAGCTAGTAGTTGGTGGTGGAACTGTGGGGATTAAAGGAGATATTAAGTAGGAAGAGTCCAGGCCTTCTAGCCCTACTTATTACTTTCTTTGTTTTCAACTTACTGAGTGTCAAGTTAAGACTTTATTAGAAATGGGAAGGGGGAGACTTTTATAACTTTTTAAAAGAAAGGCACTTTTGATTGCTAAATTTCTGTTCAAATCACTTTTTATTGCAGGTAAAGGAACAGACTCAGAATATCTCACATAAGTTAATGTGTTAATGGTAGAACGAGTGAAATTTCTGACTTCAGCTCATTCTTTCTAAAAGCATTATGCCAATGTTTCTCAGACTCTGCTGATAGAATCTGGTGGAGCCAAGTGCCTGTGGCTCACACCTGTAATCCTAGGAACTCAGGAGGCTGAGATCTAAGGATCTTGGTTTGAAGCCATCTTGGGTAGGCAAGTCCATGAGACTCTTAGCTCTAAGTAACCAGCAAAAATCTGAAAATGGAGCTGTGGCTCAAGTGGTAGAGTGCTACCCTTGAACAAAACCACCTAAGGGACAGCATCTAGGCCCTGAGTTCAAGTCCCAAGATGGCAAAAAAGGCGGGGGGGGTGGGGAAAATAGTTAAGGCTCTCTTTGACTCTCTTGGCAAGGATGAAACAGTGCTAAGCTTTTAAGAAGAATGACCCCACCTTTCTCTTAATCTGATAGAGACTAATTTTTGAATTAGCCTCAATGAAGTTTTTATTTTCTTGCTTCTTTCTATGTTTTTCAGGAACAGCACTTGTTCTAGCAAGATTACCTTTGGATAAAATTACTGAATGTCTTAGTGAATTGTGTTCTGTTCAAGTTATGGCATTAAAAAAAGTAAGTGCAATTGGGTAAGGAATGAAACAAACTTAATAAATATATGAGGAAAATAAAAATGATTTATTTACAGATTGGATTTCGTCTACGTAGAAAAGCCAAAAATGAACTAAAAATTGATTTAAATTAGTAAATCTATTCTAACTGCATGCTAAGAAAAAGTAGAGTTGCCTATCCCTTTATAATGGGGAGTTCATTCTGAGAAATGCATTATCATGTAATTTTGTAATTGTGAAAACTTCGGGGGATACTTAAACCAAAATGTTACAGACCAGTTATTTGACCACTACCTGTTGATTCAGTTAAGACATGCAGTAAACATGAAATACAAATGCCTGTGACTACTAAGTATGCCTAAAATAAAAAGTTTAATAATCTTAAAGCTTTATAATATAAAGCTAAGTAAAAACTTTCTCATGTATATATTATGTTGTAACAACATATAGTGTTCATGTTGTAATATATAATATAGATACTATCTCAATCATAATTTAAGTAAATGGGAAGAAAATCATATGTTAACATTTTCTACTCCCCAGTGAGCAGATAGTAAAATATAGTATATGCAGTCTTGGCCCGGCTGCAATAAATGGAGGAAATTAAGTAGGCAATAAAAAGTTGGCAGCATTTGAGTCACCTTTATGAAATAGGCAAAGATTGAGGCAAAGGTTAAGAGTACTTGGTTAAGCACTGGGATGGTGGTACACACCTGTAACCTCAGCTATGCCAAGATAAAAGGAGAATTGTGGTTCAAGACTGACTCCAGGCAAAAGCAAGGTCATCTATGAAAAATAGTGCTTGCAAACCCCAGCACAACCACCCCCCATCCAAAAAAAAAAAGTATATGTTAAGGAATTTACCATAGGTCTATATACATTCATAACTGTATGTCTCTTCAGTTGTTGTCTCAGGAGCCCAGCAATGGAATCTCCTCAGATCCTACTGTGTTCTTAGATCGACTGGCTGTTATATTTAGGTAAGAAGGAAGACTGAATTCTTGATGGATTAAAAGCTCAAACAAAATCTTTATACATTGAAGTAAACAAGCATTGTTTTCCTTGAACTTCTAAATACTCCCTTTATCTCTCTATCAGGAGATTAGTTAATCTGAACTTTTGGAGCAAAGGCAAATTTATTTTCAGACTCATTCTTGGCCTGACTTTGTATAAAGACCCTTTGGATATAATTGATCACTTTGCTTTCTAGTTAAGTGATTCTTAAACTTTAGCGTGCATTAGAGTCACTTGAGGATTTATTTATCCAAATACAATTTGGTAGGTCCCATCCTCAGCTATCTGATTCTGAAAAATTGTGTCACGGTTAAGTTCCCAACTGGGCGCTGGTGGTTCACGCCTGTAATCCTAACTAATCAGGAGGCCAAGATCTGAGGATTGCAGTTTAAAGCCAGCCCAGGCAGGAAAGACCATGAGACATCTCCAATTAACCACCAGAAAACTGGAAGTGGCACTGTGGTTCAAGTGGTAGAGCACTCGCCCTGAGCTGAAGAGCTTAGGGACAGCACCCAGGCCCAGAGTTCAAGTCCCATGACCAACAAAACAACAACAAATCGTTATTTTGCAATAAATGACAATTTGCAATGGCTATACATACTTAAAGAAAATTAGATTTTTATGAGGCTGCTATTGAGCTTTCTTAAGTCAGAGTAACTTGATATTGTTAGTGGGTCCATATTGTATATCATGGGTCTAGACTGGAACTACAAGAACCATCTGTAATGCACTGCAGTTCTTAAACCATTGTCTTTTAATGCAAAGATTGGAGCAATACTCAAGTGTCTTCCCCACCTACCCCAACTTGAACTCTAGGCCTGTGCACTGTCCCTGAGCTGCTTTACCTCTTGAACCACAGCTCCACTTCTGTTTTTTTTTTCCTGTGATGAATTAAGAGATAAGAATCTTATAGACTTTCCTGCCCAGGCTGGCTTCAAACCATGATCTTCAGATCTCAGCCTGAGTAGCTTGGATTTCAGGCATGAGCCACTAGCACCGGGCCAATAGTCAGATTCTTATAATGGACTTAGACAATTTGTCTATGTAGTTTTAGTTAAGTTCAAAGAAACTACATATTTAGGTTTATAATTGAGAAAAAATGGAAAAGGTAGCAGTAGTATCCCCATGGATCATGTAACCAGAATTAGATAGAATTTGCATGTTCTTCTAGTAGTTGAAAAAAGTGAAAAGGATTCAAATTACGTTCTTATTTTTGTTTGAATGGAGTAGAAGGAAAAGGTATTGATCTAAGTAAACAACTCATCTTGTTTGGCAAGTAAGCAGGGATTGGGATTGGTGTATTGCTGGGTCCTTGGTGAAATTGCTGTTTTACTACCTGGGGTCATTGTCTTTTCTCAGACACACCAATCCCATTGTGGAAAATGGACAGAGTCACCCGTGCCAAAAAGTCATACAGGAAGTAAGTGCTAATGGATGCTGTGGAATCAAGGCCTTCCTTTTCCTTACAAGGTTTTATGGATAACTGCTTGTGAAGGGTCTTTCAGGTTCTTTTAAATTAATTCTTCTTAGGGCATACTGGTCCTGGGGCTTCACTTTGAGCTTTTGTGCTCAAGGCTGGCATTCTGCCACTTGAGCCACAGCTCCACTTCTGGGTTTTTGGTGGTTAATTGGAGATAGCCTTTCACCGACTTTTGTATCTGGACTGGCTTTGAACCATGGTCCTCAGATATGAACATCCTCAGCAGCTAGGATTACAGGTATGAGCCACTGGATCCAGGCTGTTCCAGTATTCTTAATGTTATATTTGATAATGAAAGAGGATGTGAGAAATGCACTAAGAAACCTTAGAAAGGATGTTCAATCTAGCAAATTCTTTAGGCAAAGCTAATGGCTTTAGTTTCCCCATTGTTATACTTCCTTTTACTTTTTTTACTTGGATAAATGTGAGGATCTAGAGTCATGGTTTTGAAAAAATGCTTTTCAGACTTCAGAAAGTTAGATAAATACTAAATATCCTTACTTGTTCAACATTACCTTAACCTTAGCCCTTTTGTTCAAGGCCTTCTACCTTCTTGGATCGACTTTTAACACTTGTCTACCTAATTCATCCTCACTCAAGAAGTCTAAAATTTAGGAAAAATATGTGTTTGCCTTCTATAAAGTTACATTCTTTCTGTTTTTAAGAATCATTGTGTTTCTCTTAACAAATGATTGAGTTTTAGTAGTAAGCAATGTATTGAACCTTTGTGTATGTACACAAGGACTGGCCAGAATCAGGCCAGATATATATGTTTCTACAAAGAATGTTTAATCCAAATTATTTAAAAGCTAAGCCAAATGTTACCAATAGTTTAGAATCATGTTGTTAACTCTTGGTTGATTAGTTTCATGTGCTCTTTAACTTTTAACTCAGATATGGCCAGTTTTATCCGAGACTCTAAATAAGCATCGGGCCGATAACCGCATTGTAGAGCGTTGTTGCAGATGCTTGCGCTTTGCTGTTCGCTGCGTAGGTAAAGGATCTGCAGCCCTCCTCCAGCCTCTAGTCACACAGGTAAGTTTCTCATGAGAGAAGATTATGTGCACAAATTTTGAAATACGTCTATACAACAAAAAACTGTTAATGAAATGAAAAAAAAGATTAAATATGAAATAAACAATTCAGAAGCGATAAATGCCTATAGTAGATACCTTGCTTATAAGAGAAACAGCATGTGACTTGAATCTGTAATTCTGAGTCTTTTGGAAGATGATATTGTAAGGGTGAAAGTTCAGCTCGGGCAGGAAAGTTCTAGAGATAACTTCTCAACAGAAAGCTGAAAGTAGGGATGTACCTGTTAACCTATCTAGAATAGGAAGCATAACATAGGCAGATTGAGGCCTAGGCAAGAGCTTAGGCAGAACGTGAGACCTTACCTCAAAAATAACCAGGATTTTCTTTTAAGGCTGAAAGTGCGACTCAACAGTAGAGCAATTGTGAGGCCCTGACTCAAACCCTAGTACTGCAGAAAAGAAAAAACAAAGAGAAATGACCTGTAGTAGAAGTAGTAGTAGTCCAAATAGCAACACATTCCAATGCGGAATTAATTATGTGAAGAAAATAACTCATGCTCAGCCTTCAGCATAGGTAAACATTTTCATACTCATTTCCTTGGGTAAAAAGATCATATTAGGGGCTGGGAAGGTGGCTCAGTGGTAGAGTGCTTGCCTTGCATGCATGAGTTCCTTGGTTCGATTCCTCAGCACCACATAAGCAGAAAAAAACAGAAGTGGGGCTGAGGCTGAAGTGGTAGAGCGCTAGTCTACAGCTAAAGAGCTGAGGGACAGCACCCAGGCCCCAGAGTTCAGGCCCCACGACCAACCCCCCCCCCCAAAAAAAAATACCATATTGACTTTGCTATTTCTTGTCCCAATGAGATTTTGTACTTTTTTGTTTGGGAACAGTTCCAGGGTTTAAACTCAGGATTTGTTCTTGAGCCATGCCCCGTTTTTGTTTTTTGTTTTTTTTCTAATAGGGCCTCACATTTTTGTCTAGGGCCAGCCTTAAACTATGCTCTTCCTACCTACAACTTTCCATATAGATGAGGCCAGAGGCATATACCATTATGACAAGCTTCCTGGTTATGATGAGATCTTGATAAGCTTGGGTAGGCCTCAAATTTTGATCCTTCTGATTTCCACTTCTAAATAACTGGGATTATAGGTATGTACTATGACACCTTGTATAATTTTATTCTATCTTAAGTAAGTCTCTTTATTTTTCAAATAATAACTGCCTCAATCACTAAAAGTGTAATTATGATGGCATGAATCTTAGAAGGTACACATATTTATAACTTCTGTATGAGACACCTATGCTTAGATACTAAGTGATTTGTGTTGATGTTAACCTTCCAACAGAACTCTGGCCAGTGTAGCCTATTTTAAGTATTACCTATTGGCCATTTTTGTGCTACACTGGCAAATGAATAAGAACACTGAACTATAAGTAAGGCCAACCCTCTGTCTACCTTAGAGTTTTTAACTATGTAGCCCTTTTAAAGAAAAGTTGGTTAACCCATAAGTTAAATTATTCATTAATAGAACATAACAGTTGTGAGTCTACAACACTGAATAAGTTCATATCTAATGCTCATTCTATGGCATGTAATGATAGAAGAGTATGTTACTCCTCTTTTAGCCCCCAGCACCCTCAGAGTTGAATTTATGTAAGAAGATGCAAACATATGTGGGTTGTTTTTTGTTTTTTTTTTAAATTGGTCATAGGGCTTGAACTCAGAGCCTGAGCACTGTCCTGAGCTTTTGAGCCACAGCTCTACTTTCAATGTTTTGATGGTTAATTAGAGATAAGGGTCTCTTGGACTTTCCTGCCCTGCCTGGCTTTGAACCACAATCCTCAGATCTCAGCCTCATGAGTAGCTAGGATTACAGACTTGAGCCACCAGTGATAGGCTTATGTTGGCATTTTAAATGGGTAAATTCCTCAATTTTTGGAGGAAAGTGCAGTAAAAAATTATAAGCAAATAATTTAAAAGTGCATATTGTACTGAAACTTTTATTTCATTGAGTTATATATGTATATATCTTGATTGGAAATACTATTATTTATTTATTTTGTCAGTTGTGGGGCCTGGGTACTGTCCCTCAACTCTTCAACTCAAGGCAAGCACCACCACTTGAGCCACAGTGCCACTTCCAGTTTTCTGATGGTTTATTGGAGATAAGAGTCTCAGGGACGTTCCTGCCCAAGGTTGACTTTAAACTGCGATCCTCAGATCTTAGCCTCCTGAGTAGCTAAGATTACAGGTGTGAGCCACCAGTACCCGGCTTGGAAATACTGTTTTTATTTAAAAGATACAATAGATGAGTTTGTTGTTGAAATAATTTTTTTTTTTTTTTTTTTGT